CAGGAAAAATGCAAAAGCCGTTGCTGGAACTGCTGAAGGAATATGACATGGCAATAGGCATTTTCCCTCGTGATGCCACCAACTATGAGTTCAATGAAGAGACGGGAAAGTTGACTGTCTACATACCATCAGTCTGTGAAGTGGGTTATAGAGATTCTTCTGTCCTGCGTTTCTCAACTGTTGTAACTGGATATCTAGAGAAGGGCAAGTTGGCTGATATAGAGGGAATAAAAACCAAAGTGATGATTTGGGTAAAAGTGACTGCTATTACATGTGAAAAATCAAAGCTCCATTTCACTGCTGGTATGAAGAAAACTAGAAGCAGAGATGCTTATGAGGTTCTTAGAGATGGCGTAGGTGTAGATAAGTTCTAAGATGGTTGAGTTGCTATCAATTATTTGGTTGTCGTAGTACATTTTAGAGGTATTTGGACCTTTTTTTAGCTTACTATCTTGATGTTTGGTTATTATAACTTTTGGAATAGTGACGTGTTTAATGATATTTATTTCATGAAAAGTGTTCGAAGTTAAAATGCCTTTTTCCGGTGATGACATCTTCATGACCAATATACTGGTTTCGTGGCAATGGAATATACCATGAACGTTTTGCCTGTCAAAAAGATTAGAACAAGCAAGGTGACCATAGGTAGAATTTTAAGAACTAGGGAAAATTGAAAAAAATAAAAATAATAATACTAGTAATGCACCAGCCGGGAATCGAACCCGGGTCTGTACCGTGGCAGGGTACTATTCTACCACTAGACCACTGGTGCTAGTTGTTTTAGCATCTGCAACATATATTGTTGATTAAAAAAATATAAACTAACCTAAGTATATGATTAAATTTGAAATAAATTTGTACATATTGAAATCTAAATATCAGCCTTACTAATATTCTTTCAATTTGCAATTGAATATGCAATTTCCTTAAATGAACAAATCACTCGATTAATCATTGGGTCGGACATACATAAACATAAAAAGTACAAATACATGTCCTTTATCCAAGGCACTCAAGTTTGATCAATAATTGAGATTTTTCATATGATTTATCGGTATTGAATCAAGAAAAAAGTGAGAGTTTACTTTAGCGACTTAGTGAAATACTTTTTTAACAAGTTTAACTCAATCCGTTGAGAATCAAAAGATTTTCGTTTTTCTAAAAGCATGTTATTGATTAATCTGTGCGTTGAAGACCCCATTGAAGGGTAATTCGTCCCCATATAAATTTCAAACTTGACATGTTTACAATGCAGAATTATATTCAAGCAAGTAATCTCAATTTTGTGGTGTGTACCATGTTCAAACAAAAACTAGAGTCCCACGCAGTGTGAACACGTTACAAAATGCCAAGATTCCTTTTATTTTGACGTCTTCCTTCTGGATATTTCCTTGATATCACAATGTTTTGGATCAGACCACGAGCCTGCCACACGCCCAGTCCAAGTGGACCCATTATCACCCTCCACGTGTCGGATTGTCAACGGCCCAAAATCACTTGCCGACTGCTATATAATCTTTCTACGCCAACGCCTTCAAATTCATCTTCTTGAATCCATTCTTACATTGTATTCTAAGATTTGTTCGAGTTTTCTTTTTCACAATGTTTCTTGAGGCAATTTCTGCTGTTTCGTGTTCGGGTTTAGGAACCTTTTCGAATTCGAATACCATTTTGAGCCCATCATCTTCTAATTTGAATCTTGTTTTGCCAAAAAAGCGTGGAAATGGGTTCGTAGTTTACGCTGAAAAGGCTAGTGTGCCACTAACAGGTGTGGTGTTTCAGCCATTTGAAGAGGTTAAGAAAGGTGATCTCATGGTCCCAATAGCTCCTCAGCTTTCACTTGCCCGCCAGAGGTTTTCGGAAGAGTGTGAGGCTGCAATTAATGAACAAATCAAGTGAGTTTTCAAACCTTCTTCTTCACTTCGTGTTTTTTACAAGGATCTAGTTATTTTGGATCTTCTAGTGATGAACTGAACAAATGGAAAAAAGAGTTCATGTAATCGATCTCAAGTTTATTAGCAACAATGCTTTGCTTGTTGTTGTTGCTTTTTAATAATTTAATCATTTAGATGAGCTGATTCAACTTAGCCCTTGTCTTTCATTCTTTCAAAATTACTTTTTTTAAAAGCTCATTTTCAACCATATTTTGTATGTTTAAACTTAAACTTTACTTATTTTTTAACTACACATTTTTAAAAAATTCACTGGTCAAAACAATGTTTTTCCAAAAGAATCGCCACCAAACAGGTTCATAGTATCAAAGCATACAAATGATCTAGACTCAAATCTCCATACACTCGATTATGAAAATTGTACATATGCCACCTTTCTCATAAAAAAAATGAACCAGATCTTGTTTGAGCTCCATTTTTAGAGAAGACTGCATTTTGGAATAGTGATTTGACAAAGAATGTGTGGTTAAAAAATATGGAAATTTTTTTTGAATTTGCATATAATATTATTTTATTGAAGAACGTGTAGTTGAAAATTAATGTATTTTCAAAATAAGGGCAATCAGGGCTGAATTTGGCTTTGTAAGTGTCAGAATCTTTTCTTTTTCTTGGTTTTCATGTCTGAAAATTCTTGGTACTTTCAAACAATTCCACTCATTCATTTCTCTACACTATTAAAACAAAACTATAACAGAAAAATTATTCACACTTAGATAAACGCTTTATGTTCTTATAATATTTTTTATACATCTTTCTAACAAATAAGTTCATCTATTACTTCTACTAACAAATTGATCTTCTCTTCTCGTTTCAGTGTGGAGTATAATGTGTCGTATGTGTATCACTCCATGTACGCGTACTTTGACAGGGACAATGTTGCTCTTAAAGGCCTTGCCAAGTAACTAAAACAGTCTCTAATGCTTTATTGAATTTCAGTTACTCTCTGTTTTCCCCCCTTTTCCCGTCTTAATCAAATGTGCTATGGTTTATTGTCAGATTCTTTAAGGAGTCCAGTGAAGAGGAAAGAGAACACGCCGAGAAACTAATGCAGTACCAGGTAATCAGTCGAGCAATAAACATCATACAGTTGAAATGAAACACTTCGTGAGAAAGTGAGCTTATTTTCTATTGACTTGGATGCATGTAAATATGATTTTGTATTCGTCTTGATGAATAACAGAACATACGAGGAGGAAGAGTGAAATTACATACCATTACAATGCCCCCGGCAGAGTTTGATCATATTGAGAAGGGTGATGCACTATATGGTAAGTATAGCTTCTTCTTTTTTTCCTCTGCAAGACCATGTTTGGTACATGTTCGAGAGAGCAGGATTAGACATGATTAAGGAACAGATACAGACACGTGACTTAATTTGTCGCGTCCATTCTACTGTACCGCACATGCCATAGATGCAGGGTGTGACTCCCTGCATCAATATTTTTACTGTCTCTCAATGAATTGTATTTTCTTGATTCAGCAATGGAGCTTGCTTTGTCCTTGGAGAAGTTAACTAACGAGAAACTTCTGAACCTACACAGTGTAAGCCCCTCTAACCTCTTTTGACATGTTTGTTACATTTGTACTGGTTCGAAAGCTGACAAATGACAAAGTGACGTCCACTGTTAATGACTTGTTCTCGATGAAACAGGTGGCCGATCAAAACAACGATCCCCAGATGGCAGATTTTATAGAGAGCGAATTTTTGGAAGAGCAGGTAAACTGCACTCTCTGTGTGTGTGTGTGTGTGTGTTCTTGATAAACGAATTAATCTAATAGATTTAACAACATGACAAAATTTAGCTAAGAACTCGATTTGAGTCGATGAAATAAGATTTTTGACTTTCCAGGTTGAAGCGATTAAGAAAATTGCAGAATATGTTACTCAATTAAGGATGGTTGGGAAAGGACACGGTAAGATATATATTCCAAAACATCATCTTCACTAGAGTATATTCTTATTCCACATGCTGAACCTTTTCTTGTATTACTGAATGCAGGAGTATGGCACTTCAACCAGCAGCTCCTTCACAATGGCAACGGTGCAGTATGAAGATGCCTCGTATTGTTTGTTTTCTGTCTCCATGTATCAGTTCTGAGTTGTAATAAGTGTTAGTTCGACTTTCTATTTTCTAGACAATGTTGTAGATTGGATCAAAACCTGAAGCTTTGTAATGTCTGTAAAATAGAAAACCTTGTACTAGAATAATGTTTGATTAATCTTTGTTTAAAGATAATGCTCTATTTACTAATCTTATTCTGTATTTCATAAATACATGACACTGGCAGTGCCTAATCCAAGAGATTTCACGAATAAAACGTGACCAATTAACCATCTATAGTGTGGAGCAACTGTTCTGTATGCCCTTATTTCTACATGTTATAGATACATCAGCAATAGCAGTCGATATTAATTTGCTAGTCGTTACTACAAAACAAAGACGAGACCTATAATTGAAGCTGAAAGAGAGGTAAAAGGATGTACATCAACACTTGCAAATCAATCCACTACATATTTAGTATTTAACAATATTTAACTTCTTTTTCATGGTTAATATTGTCCAGTAGTATCTAATCCTCGTACTGAACATGCCACTAGTGTTCAAATTGTTCAGAAACAAAATCTCCAGCACAAAACTTTCTTTCTGTGTTTTTTGTTGTGGGCATCAATAGGGAATGAAGAGTGTACCATCTCCCACATAACCTGTATATCTGTATATCCTGCACAAGCCTCCATGTCCTTGTAAAGAGTAACCATCCCTTGCCCTTTTCCTGTAAAGAAATGGAAATGATTTTGAGGCTAAACAACTTTTTATTACCACCAAAACAAAGTAGTACCCAATATTTAATTCTTGAATAGACACATCTAGCAATTATATTAACCTTCCAAACATCCTTAAATGGAAGATTAAGCTACAAAAATCCAAACCTACATCCAAAATTCCATTTTTTGATTATTTATGTTCCAAATAGTATCCGAATGCTTGTTTTACTCCTCGTTCTATTAGCAGCTTCCGAGGGGACGTATTCCCACGAGGAAGGAAATCCCTCGGCAAGTTGCCTCCAAGAATGAGTCTTTCTCTTCTTGGTTTCTGAGGAGACATAACCATACACTAATGAAACATAAACACATAATATAAATGGATTTCATTATCGTATAATACGATGGAAATCATTCAAGTTCATCTTACCTTTGGTTTTATGTCTGAAAATTGAAGTAACATTAACAAGCATATCCTTTCTTGTTGGACAAAGAAATAAGTCCCTGAAACTAAAGCACTGCCAAAATTTTCTACTCTCCATTTCCACAAACACCTTCTTTTCATCATAGTCTACATATATTTTCTCATTCACTAAAACCCAACTTTATTAGTTAAAGTTTATGGCACTAAAAAACAAAAACCATCCGACATTGCAGATGGAAACAAGCATCAGGACAAAAAGGCTTCAAAATTCAATAATGTTAAATGAATTCATAAATAATTATGAATGCTCTAGTGGGACTATTCGATTCAGATTTTTTCTCATGATTAAGCTAATATAAAAAGATTAAGCTAGAATATATTAATTTCTTTAAAAGGGCCGGGAAACTAAGGCAACCTAGCACAAAATATATACTACCACCCGTATTGACCACGTTGACCTTACCTCAAAGATCAAACTACGATCCGGGGAGGGGGGGAGGAAGAAGGGAAGTGAGTAATATAAATATTGTTAAGCCTTATATGATCCAACATCTTATACCCTTTATCCTGAATTTGAACTACATTTATGTAATCTTAGGAAAGGTCTAGTGGGACACTACAATTTGATTCAGGGTTTCCTTATGAATAATCAAATATAAAATAAGAACAGGAAGATTTAGATTAATTTGATTAAAAAGGAGTGGAATTTGGAAAAAGTTGTGATAGAGAGAAGAAATAGACATTTTGAGTAGGAAGCAATTGGTTTGGAATTTTGCTTTTCCTACTTATTAGTCTAACCAAAGATTCTCTAGTTTATTGCTCAAGGAAGGTGCAGAAAGGCCCCACGGTCAAACGGTTGGTTGGTTTTTCCTCCAATGTCTTTGTGTTTGAGTGGAGAACTCTTGTCCTCTCTCACCTCACAAGATTAGGCCATCAATAATGTAATGAGTTTGATTAGAAAATTCAGTGACTAATTTGAGTTGTGCTAGTGGAATTGAAGAGTCCACTGTGATCTGGGAAGGAAATGTTATGTGCTATACACGTCATACTTGTTCGAATTACTATCCACGTGGTTTGCACATACAAAAATAGAAGTGGGTTGTCGCTTGATCCATCACCCAACATATGGTCGTTCCATAATGGTGTCAAATATTAGTTAATTCAGCTAAAAATTGTCAGTAAGGACATTGATCCTCAACGACGATGGATTGTAGAATCTTATATTGCTCGGAGAAAGAAAGTTTGGGTACTATAATATAACTATAAGTTTTGAACAAACTCACACGTGGCCAATACTTTTTTTCATGTGGAAGTAAAATAAGGATGAGTTTTATAGATTTACGGCTTTACAACTTTTGATAGGGCTCACTAATTTTATTTTGCCGATTTTATACAATTTCATGATCGGGGTGTTGACAAGAGATACCCATCAATATCCGAAGAACTATAATTACATGAAATTTTTTTATTATAATCCATTAGTAACATATGATAATACTAATACATTACACATGGTAAAAGTAGTAAGTAGAAACCAAGCATGTGCTCTCCAAATCTGTTGATTTAGTCAACTAACTGATTACTTGACATCTCACCAACTTGTCACTGTTGGACCCGAACTTGTTCTTTTTTTATCATTTTTAGGCTGGGCAAAATTTGGCACTACTATTTACTCAACCAAAACATTACACTAACATAGCATTGCCTAAGATTGGGTAAGTGGATTCGCACCAACGGCTTTGATCTAATGTCCATGGTGGGCATCGGTTATAGTACCACCATGGACGTGATAATATCCGGTTTTGCCACGTGGCGATGCCTATCATGGACATTATAATTCATGTCCATCTTGGACATTAGATCATTTTTGTTCGTATCAAACACGCATAAATCTATGACACAGATTATGGTACAAGAAGTTGACACACGTATCCCTCTATTCAAGGACTTGTTCACTTGTGTCAAATTACTTAAAAATCAAAAGTCACGGACAAAAAAGGATACTCAAGTAAAGAAGGATATGGCCTGGTATTCTAAATAGATCGTCCAAGTTTGGAATGATAGTTGTGACAAAAGCTTACATTGATAGCTTCATCCTATAAGATCAAAGAAAATTATATAGTTTCTATGGTTTATGTTGACCTCGTTCTCTATGAGGATGATGCGGACAACAGATACCGGGTCCACTCATATACACATGAGTAAATTCCAACATGTTTTGATTGGAAACTTGGTCGAAGGAGTTTTCTGTATATGAACGTGGGAGATATTCTATGATACGAGACAAAAATGTTCAGATGTCGATGAGATATACGGGAATGATTGTATAATAATAACAAATCACAAACAACTCAAACAAAGCAAAGTACTCATAACTCTATCAAGGCAAGTGTATAATCAGCAAGAGAAAAGACGTTGTGCTTTGTAGGTTAGAGGGAGGCTATTGGGCTATGAGTTAGGTCCCATCGACTACGAGATGGGATGGGGGCTGCTAAAATTCTTCCTGCCATGACCTCCACCAAATTGGTTGAACTTAGGGAAAAATTTAGGACCCTAGACAACATAGAGTTACTAATCCCTGAGGCCCATGAATGCGCTTGTTATCTGAGGCCCGATTGTGTGGCAGTTAGTGAACACATGCTGAAGTCAGGTATGCATCTACCTCTGCACCCATTTTTTAAGGTGGTACTTAGGTCTTTTACGTTGGCTTTGACCCAACTCTTGCCAAATGGATGGAGTCAATTATGGGGGCTTACTTCTTTTGGAAGGAGACCTTGTTGGGGGAGGATATGCGTATGCATGTCTTTCAAACATGTTTCCAACCTTGCATCCTTGGGAAGTGGGAGTCATCTGAAGCTATGCCACTTTGATCACCTCATAGACCGAAGCAAGTACTTCTTAGACTTCGGACTGATGGCCTCAAAGGGTAAGCACCAACCCCACCCCCCACGCCTTTTAAGCAAGGAGTTCCTTTAGATTTTGAAATTGTTTTCACTGTTTGCAAATGATTTTGGGAGGTAGAAGTACCCAACTCCTGACATGGCTTTGATTTTGAATGCCGCCACCACTGTGGGCTCCAGGGCTTTACGACCCTTCTTTGGAGCTGCTGTGCACGTGAAAGAAAAACTTGAGCACCTCGGCAAAGATCATGCTAAAGAAGGCGGCTAAGAAGCGAGGCAGAGGGTTGACAAACGTCTGGAAGGAGTTGATAAGGGCAAGGGAAAGGTGGATGAGCCACAGAAAAAGAGAAAACAGTCCCATAGCAGCTCTTCCTCCAAGAAGTTTGGCATTACTGTTGCCCTAGCTGCTAAGTCCACTGCTCCTCCACCTCCTAAGTTGATGGAGGCTTCAATGAAAGCAGTTAATGTGGAGACGGTATTGCCATGTGGTAACGCCTAATAACTCATGTCTATCGTGTACATTATATCATTTTTGTTGTTATCAAACGCACATCAATCTATGGCACAAACATTATGGTACAAGAAGCTGACACATGTATCCCTCTCTATTCAAGGACTTGTTCACTCGTGTCAAATTGCTTAAAAATCAAAAGTCACGAACAAAGAAGGATATGACCTGATATTCTAAATAGATCATCCAAGTTTGGAATGATATTTGTGACGGAAGCATACATTGATAGCTTCATCCTATAATATAAAAGAAAATTATATGAGCTTCTACGGTTTACAAAGAAAATAAATTGAAGTATACACCTTTTCCAACATATGGTCAGGAAAACTTCACTAATTATTTATCGAGAATGATAACTGAATAATGTAACATTCTTAAATTTTAACATAAACTTACTGAGTTCTCAATTCATCTTGCTAAAATTTCTTCAAAGTTTTCCTTTGTTCTTCAACAGAGGCCACTTTTTTTTTCTTGATCATTAATTTTGTCGATAATTACTGCATTGGTCAAAACAGAAATTGCTAATCGACGATGTTAGCATAAAACCAAGAATAAGGAAATGTGCAACTAAATTGAGCGAATACTTATCTAAGTTCGCTAAGCATATGTTCTCTTTCTTGTTCATCTATCAACTCTTTCTGTAGCAAGTCTAATTCAGCAT